ATTTTTTGCTACTTCACAACTGTAATTTTGCTACTGTTATGAATTGTAATGTAAATATCTGATATACAGGATATCTGATCTGTGACCTGCAAGGGGGGGGTGTGACCCACAGGTTGAGAAACCTCGAAGGACTCTGTCTGCACTAACCTGAGTACAGGAACACACCCACGCCACAATGGGCTTCTCCCATTGGCGGTTGCTGTGAGTGCTGGGGACCGCTCATGCAGTTGCTGGGTGCTGGGCTGCCTGCGCCTGGCAGGGAATTGCTTCACACGTAAGCCAGCGTGAGGTAGCTTCGCGTGCTTTGTTTGTACAGCTGCTGCTGGGCTCCGGCTCAGCTCTGCTGAGCAGAAGGGCCTGGGAATAGGCTGGGGAAGGGTTTCCAGAGTCTGGAGGAGGCAAGAACGTGCCTGATTGTCCACCAGGTGCCCGTGGCCAAAATGGCTGAATGAAAAGAAAATGCACACTTACTGTAAAAATGTGAACCCCTGTTGGATTTCTGCGGTCCGGAATTCAGGTGTTAAAAGTGTTCGCAGTGGATAAACTTGCCTCCACTTTCCCATGGCCCCAGTTCCCTTCCTCACAGTAGTCGGCACCACCAGTTCAGAGGGAGGCCAAGTAGGCAGTAACCATCTGGCACACAGAAAGGCCCAGGGGGACTATCCTGCCCCTTGCTTGCTTTCCCCCCTCATTCCTTCATTTGCCAGGCGCACAGCTCCATTGAACTGACAGTACCAAATGACACTTAGTAGGCTTTTGTGGTAGAGCACCTCATTTTGCTTTTGTTTTTCTTCTGTTTTACTCAGTCTCACTTTGTAACCCTGACTGGCCTGGGACTCTGTGGACCAGGCTGGCCTCAAACTCACAGAGATCTGCTTGTTTCCCCAAGTGCTAGGACTAAAGGTATGCACCACCACACCTGGCCCTTAGCCTCGCTGTTGTACTGTTTTGCTCATGTATAGGCTGTGAGGAGAAGAAATTGCCCATGTGTAGGAGAGAAGTTGATGTGCCAAAGAAATGCCGTAATGACTACCACGTTGCCGTCTGCACCTTCTTGCCAGCTTTAACCCCACCAGCCATGTTTTTTGACTCTTCCACACACTGTAACCAATGCTACCAAAACTTGACCTTGGCTGCCTGAATCTTACCTACACCTTTCCGTCATGGTCCAGGCTTGGAAAACAATAGTAGATAAAAGCCTGTTTGCTTTGTGGTTGTGGTATAGCATAGGGATTTGTCGCTGCCCGAACGGCAGGGAATTGGAGTTGACTTTTGTTAACTGACTGCCGGGGGAGTGAATGATGGTAAAATGCTAAGTGGTAAATCAGAAGCCTGAAGAGCCTATGGTATACTTTCTGATGGTGTGGTCTTTCTAATCTTGCTACATCATCAGGGACGTCGGGTCAGCGAGTCACAGACGTAGCCCCAACACTGTAAACACGGCTTCTGTGTCTGCACAGGGACCGTCTGGATCAGTAGAGCTTTGCCAGCCCCGATAGCTTTGCCCCATGAACCAGACCAGGACATCACTGTGAATCTGGAAAGGATGATGTGGGAATCACGGCATTGGGGAGCTGGGAGGCCCTGCAGAGCTTTTCGACACTAATTTTCTTTGCTTGGGATCTTTTGTAGAAAGACTTTCATGTGGCACTTGCCTTGAACAAAAGGGTGTGGGCTTTGTTTGTTCTTAGATGCCAGGGCTCTTGTTGAATTAGGTATGGTTCCAGGAAAGAGGAAGTTTGTTTTATGGTCTTTTTATAAAATAGTGAATGGGGGTAGGAGAACGGGGGCCAGAGAAGGTTTCTAGAGAGATTTGCCAACAAAGGCTTATGTTAAATGCTAAACTATTTGTAAACGCAATGTGGTTTACCACACTGTGAACACAGAGGAAGGCAAATTAGCACATTGCAAATAATCAAAACAGCACTAAGTGTTGGGATATACACTTGCTCCCGTAGAGCCAAACACAGCCTGTGCCACTGTTGAGGCTTGGGCTGGAGTGACCCTTCAGCTTGGAACTTACAGACCAAGTGCCCTTTCCTAGCAAGACAGGTTATGAGTTAGGCCCAAACCAAGCTTAAATCCGGTCTGGTTTTCAGCATCTTTCCTTTTCCAGAGACTTTGGGGGAGTGAGAACCTATGGCCACATACGTGTTTTTTCTTTCACTGAGCGGTTTAGTATGCTTCAGGGCTCCCTTTTTTCTTAACTAACACTTGTGCAAATCCTTGTGCCCTGGGAAGAAGAGACAGCTCAGAAGTTAAGGAGCTTGCTGTTCCTGCAGAGGACCAAATTTGGTTCCCACTACCCCCATGGCAGATCAGTCACCTATAAGGAATTCATCGCCCTCTGCTGGCATCTTCAAGTATTGCACGCATGTGGTACAGAGACAAACACTCATGCGCATTAAATAAAAAATAAATCTTTAAAAACAACTAGACCTGTGCTCAGGGCTAAACAAACTATCTTTGCCCATCTTACCTACTCTGCTCTCTAGGTTTTCTCTGTGTCAATCAATCTAAAGAAAAAAGAAGAGAAAAGGAAAAGGAAATAAAGACAGCTACATTAATCCATATAAGTCACAGAATACACAGCTTCACTCTTCATAGTGTATTCCAGGATTATGTGGCCATTACTGTAGTCAACACTACAATGTCTTCATTCGGTGTCAGTTGAAAATAGGCACCCACTTGCAGACCCTCCCCACCCCTTCCCCACACCCCTTCCTGTATCCCTGGCCAACAATTAAGTTAGCTTCTCTATCTTTAGAGTTACTCTTCTAGACATTTCCTTCAGCATTAATATAGGAGCTTTCATGAAATGCCTCTTTCACTTAGCATCATGTTTTCTGTTGTAGTCTACACGAGTCGTTTATTTCCTTTCATTGTAAGAATGTACCACATTTTATTTACCCAGCCAGCCATCTGTGGGAATCTAAGTTGTTTCCACTTTTAGGATACTATGAATGTGATGCCTTGAACATATGTGTATGTGTGTATACATACATATATATGCATATGTGTGTATATATATATATGATATAAGTGGAAGTTTTAATTTCTGTTAGGTATATAGAAAAGAGTGAAGTTGCTGGTCAAGGGAAACTTGGTTTAACATCTCTTTGTAGAGCTGACAACTTTCCTGCACGGCTACACATTTTTATATTTTCTCAGCAATTCATGAGGGTTTAGTTTTCCGTATCTTTTCTAGCATGTGTCAACGGTGGTTTCGATTTGCCCTTCCCTAGTAACTAATAGTATTGCGCATTCATGTGTTTATTTCTCTGTCTTCTTTGGAAACAAATCCATTCATATCCTTTGCCCTCATCAAGAGTAGATGGTTTACTGGGTATGTGTCTTTAATTTAAACACTTGGAAGGCAGAGGCAGGTGGATCTCTGTGAGTCTGAGGCCAGCTTGGTCTACATAGTGAATTTCAGGGTAGTCAGAACTATGTGAGAGACCCTGTTTAAAAAAAAAAAAAGTGGTTTACCTTTTTATTATGAAGGTGAGGAATCTTTTTAGTATGATCTGATTTGTAAATATTTCCCTTTTTTCCGTGGGCCACCTTTTTATCCTGGTGGTATTCCCGGTGTTGTAAAAGTGTGTGACTTCTCTCATAGTGAATTTCAAGCTCACAAGCACCTGTAACTCCAGCTCTCACCTGTAACAATGCCCTTTTCTGGCTGCCTTAGGTACTTCACACATGTATTATGGTACATATAATACATGCCGACTTACATTCATACACACGGAAGTCTGTCTGTTCTTTTGTCATCTGTGCTTTTGGTATTGTAGCTGAAGAATCTTTGTCTAAACCAAGATCACAGATATGCATTCCTTTGAGCTTTAATTGGTTTGGTCTATGATTCCTTTTGTAAAAGGGTGCTGTGTTCATTTGTTTGCTTGCTTGCTTGTTTTGTTTGTGACAAGGTCACATGTAGCCCAGGCTAGCCTCAAAGTGGTTATGTAGCTGAGGATGATCTGACCTCCTCTTCCCCCTGCTTGTACCACCTTAGTGCTGGAAAGTGCGCTACCTTCCCTGGTGTATGTCATGCTAGGGATCAAATGCAGGGCTTCATGTATGCTAGGCAAGCATTTTACTAACAGGGCTGCTGTGCCCACAGCCTACCCATTTTTTTTCATCTTTAAGGTGGGATGAAAATAGCTCCTAAGTTCCTTAGAAAGTGGAGAGCTCATAAAAAGAGCCAAGCACAGCTACATATCTCTACCCTGGCCCACACCTTACTTAAGAGCAGGTGACAGGGCTGGAGAGATGGCTCAGAGGTTAAGAACACTGGCTGTTCTTCCAAAGGTTCTGAGTTCAGTTCCCAGCAACTACATGGTGGCTCATAACCATCTGTACTAAGATCCGGGGTGCAGGCAGAATGTTGTAAAAATAATAAATAAATCTTTTAAAAAAAGAAGCAGGTAACAGCAAGTGGCCTATCTTCTTCCTCTGAAATTTAACATTATTATTACTATTATTATTATTTTAATACTGGGTGTTGAAATGAATACCTCAGCTGGGTGGTGGTGGCACATGCTTTTAATTTCAGCACTTAAGAGTCAGAGGCAAGAGGATATATGTGTGTTTAAGGCCAGCCTGTTCAACAAGTTAAGTTCCAGGACAGCCAGGGCTGTGTCTTGGAATAAAGGAAGAAGGAGGAGGAGAAGGAATAATAATAATAATAATAATAATAATAATAATAATAATAATATAAATAATTGAGTCCCTCAAACATGCTAGGCAAGTCCACTGCCACAAATCTACATCCCAGCTTTTTAAAAATCTTTAATTTTGAGACAGTGGCTCTGCCTAACTTGGCTAGCCTATCCTCAAACTCATCAGGTATCCTAATCATCCTGCCCCATGTCCCTGTTGATGGGGTATCAGACGTCTGCCAGGAGGTTCCAGCTGCAGTGTACTTTTTGGAGGCCGGTTTCCTCCATGAGTTAGGGACCAGCTGTGGATACTCATTCCTTTGTTCTCTTTGTTCTCAGAATGTTGAGGTCCTGGCCAGCCGGAGCAGCTCAGCAGAGCAGAGCCAAGCAGGGGCCGACCTGCGTGAGAGAGTGCTGAAGGAGGAGAATGAGAAGCTGCAGGAAAGGGTTGCAGAGCTGGAGCGCAGGGTGGCCCAGCTGCAGAGGCAGGTGGAGGATGTGAAGGATGACGAGGCCCATGCAAAGGAGATGCTCCGAAAGTGTGAGGTGAGGCTCCCTGGGCCTTGGCTGGGGTTTGGCAGCTTGCAGCCCTCTTTCCTGAAAATGATTTCAGAGGTGGGAAGGGACCATCAAGATTTACTTAAGATGTCAAGGTAAATGGCAAACAGCTCTAAGAATGGTGGAAACAGGAGGCCTGGAGGCAGGGGTGGTGAAAATGGGGAGAAACACAGGCCTGGGTCTCACAATCATTAGTGAGTCCAGCATCAGATGTACTCATCTTTCTGAGGCCCCATGGGGGACCTCCAAACACCCGGAGCAGCCATCTTCACACCACTATTAGGCTGAGTCACTGAACACATTATTTCTCTAACACATAGCTGATATTTTTGGAGATTTTAGCAAACCAGTTATCTGGTTTGCCGGAGCTTTGGAAGTAGGAAGCAGTTAGGGAAAGAGGTGATAAGAAAGAGCAGCTGAATAAAAGGGGAACCCCCTGGGCACCCATCAGATCCCCTGCACACCTTCTACAGCAATGCCTTGCCCCGTCTATCCCTGTCCTGAAGTTTCTGAATGTCTAGGGCTAAAGCTTGGGTATTTGTATTAAAGAAAACAAGAAGATGAAGGCAATCCAGAAGGTCACCTGTGGATAAAGATGGGGACTCTAAAGGGCACACACCCAAGAACCTGTGACAAGCACGCTACAATCATGGCTGTCTTTTGTCCTTGGACACACCAGGCATCAGAGAACATCAGAGTGTGTGCTTATGTCCTTTGACCTATCTATTTCACTGTAGAGTGAAGTACAGCAACTAGAGGAAGCCCTTGTGCATGCCAGAAACGAAGAAAAGGAAGCCACATGTGCCAAAAGGGCGCTGGAGAGGGACCTGGAGCAAGCTCAGGTAAGCCCTCAGTCTTGCCTTCCTCATCCATGTAGGTAGAAACGGCCACTGGGCCTGTCCTTCTAGGGAATGCCTTTCACCTACATAGCCACCCTGAGCTTCATACTATCCACCTAGACTGGTGACTCAGAAGTAGGAGCCAGTTGGTGATATCTGGAGATGCTTTAACTGCCACACTGGGAGATGCTGCAGGTCTGGTGAATGGAGGTCAGGATTGCTGACTAGCATCCTAGAAAACACAGGCCAGCCCTGTGTTTTCTGGCCTATGTCACTGTGCCAAGGTTGAGAAGGCCTTGATGTGAAAGTTCTCCGCAGTTTTGCTGAGATAAAATACAGATTGTATGTGAAGGCTGGCAGGACCTGTCCCCAAGGCGGCGTGGGGCCTCTCTACAGAAGCCAATTTCCCTTCTCCTCTGGGCAAACACGCTGCACACTGTGCAGTCTCTCAAGGCGGCTATTAAAAGGAGCAGGAAGAAGTCATTTCCTTGAGACCAGATAGCTATCTCTCTTCAAAACCAGGAGGTTCGTGGAAAATGAGATTTTTTCCAGTTTGGATATGAGGGAGATTATTTGAGGTCCTCTGTAGTCAAAGCCAGCGCTAAAGCTGTAAATTGAATTTCGCACAGCGGCCTCAGTGTGATCCAGGGGTGTCTTCATTCTAGCTTCCATTCTTAGGTTTTAAAATGTTGCCCAAATATCCTTGGGGTGAGTTTTGGAGAAGGTGAGGGATGAAGGGCTGGCTGAAGCAGGCTGTTGAAGTTTCACAGTGGGGACCCATTGTAGGAAATGAGTCAAATTTGGAGCCATGGTTCTAAGCTCTAGATGGAGGAAGGAGGCATCGAGCAGAATTCCCACACAGACATCACAGCACTGGGCTTTTACTTGGGTGCTGGGGATCGTGGCTTAGGTCTTCATGCTGAGCCCGCTCCCCGGGTCCCCTTTGTAGCCTTAACCATCTGGGGAGCAATGTTGAGTGAGGTACGTTGTAGCTACAGAGATGATGTCTCTGAGGCTAATGATACAAACTCACTACTAACCAGGTAAGTGATTCTAAGACATAGAGCTGGTGGATGTACAAGGGGACCCGGAGCGAGGGGACCAGTACCTGTTACTGGATGCAGAGTATTTGACTGTATGACTAAAGTCAGTAACCAAGGTTCACCAAGCTCCTGGGGACAATAAACAAGAGGAAGGTGGCTTCTCAGAGGCCTTGGAGCACAATAACTATGGACCAGCTGTTAGAAGCAACAGGGCTTTCCCTTATTCTGTCTCAATACACAAAGCCTGTGGGGGGTGGCTGTGTGGGGAGGGATGAGCACTGAGAGCCTTCCTCTAAGGATAAAAAAATATTAAAAAAGATAAGTCAGACTTATCTCACTACCTCAGATTCAAAAAACAGCAGTGGGTACCCTTACATAGAATGCAAATTCTAGCCCTTTTTAGTGGAGTGACAGTTTTTGGAACAGATAACTTGAATTTGAGAGTTGTACCAGATAATCTTAAAATGTCCCACAATTTAGAAATGCCACCTAGAAAAATGTTCTGCCCCTTTAGTTATCTAAAACATATGTTCTAGAGTCTGAGGATGTAGCTTAGTGGTATAGAAACTTGCTATCATGCACAGAACCCTGGATTTGATCCCCAGCAGAAATGCCCCCACAAAGAGAGAGAGAGAGAGAGAGAGAGAGAGAGAGAGAGAGAGAGGGACGAGAGGAAGGGATTGAGAGAGGGATTTTCTACAGCTACAAAAAAAACATGTCTCAAATTCCCTGAAAAAGAAGCAAGCTTGGGACCTTTGAAAGTGTGTGTGCGCATGCCCCTGTGGTCCCAGGGTCACAAATCAGGGATGATGAAGAGTTGGACCACACAGGTATCTGTGGAAGCCAGATGTTGACATAGGGGAGTCTTCCTCTATTGCTTTCCACCTCTTTTTTGTTTTTAGAGACAGGGTTTCTCTGGGTAACCCTGGCTGTCCTGGGAACTAACTTTGTAGACCAGACTGGCCTCGAACTCAGAGATTTATCTGCCTCTGCCTCCCCAGTGCTTGAATTAAAAGCATGTGCAGCCGCCACCACCACGGGGGCAGGGTAGCAGACATTCACATTTTTGAGATCTAGTCCCTTAGAGTTTCCCCACATGATGGCATCAACTTCACTGAGTGGTAGCAACTCCTCCCCTCTTCTCCTCAAGACCAGAAAATAGATTCTAAACAGAAATCCCAGGGTTTGACCCTGCCTGTGGTGTGTGTTCAACTGTAGCTGTAGTGGGCTGATTGCCCCCACACAGGCCTTCTGTCTCAGTTAAGGTTCTATTGCTATGAAGAGACACCATAACCATGGAAACTCTTATAAAGGAAAACATTTAATCGGACCTGGCTTACAGTTTCAGAACTTTAGTCCATTATCATCATGGCACGAGACATGGCAGCTTGCAGGCAGACTTGGTGCTGAAGGAGCCAAGAGTTCCACATCTTGAGCCTCAGGCAGCAGAAGGAGACTGTGTGCTACACTGGGTGTAGCTTGAGCATCTGAGACCTCAAAGCCCAGCCCTATAGTGAAACACTTCTTCCAACGAGGCCACACCTACTCCAACGAGGCCACACCTCCCAATAATGCCACTCCCTATGTATCAAGCATTCAAATACATGAGGCCATGGGGGGGGGGCATTCCTATTCAAACCATCACACCTTTTGAGTATCTTTCTTTCCTCTCTTTCCCCAACAGCTTTTGTTGCCCTAGCTTCTCTGTAGAGGTGAACTTTAGCAGCATGGCAATGTTTGCTGCTTCCCAAAGCACAGCATCCCCAGTAAGAGTTGAGGGTCAGGAGACCTCCCCAGGAGTTTTTCACTCCCACGCTGTGTGCTCCGCAAGTATACCTGTAGCATACTCTGCAAACCCAAGAGAGCATGGGATGACTTAGGAGTAGCTTCAAGGTGCAGGAGGAGCTGGGTGGTGGTGGTTTATGCCTTTATTTCCAGCACTAGGGAGGCAGAGGCAGATGGATCTCTTGAGTTTGAGGGCACCCTGGGCTACAAAGTGAGTTCCAGAACACCCTGGGCTACAAAGATTCCATCTCAAAAATAATAATTAAAAAAAATAATAAAAAGCTGCCTAAGTTACTGCATGTGACATTAGATTATAAACTGTTAAGCACTGTCCAAATGTCACCATTGTTCTATGCAGCCTCTTACAAGGGGAAGAGACCAGGCAGACCTCAAGAGTTCCTGTACAGGCGGTGTTGGAGCACGCCTTTAATCCCAGCACTTAAGGAGGTCGAGGCAGGCCATCTCTGTGAGTTCCAGGGCTACACAGATAAACTCTGTCTCAAAATAAATAAACAAACAAATGAACTAATTTCAAAAAATGAAGTTCCTGCACTAGGCTAGAGATTGAGCTCAGCGGGCAGGGTGCTTGCTGAGATGGTTAGGTTGGTCCACGGTATCCCTGTTCTGTTCTGAGACCAAACATTCAGGTTTAGGAGTCTAGCCTAAATCCCCCCAGCTGCTCTGGGCTGCTTGCTTTGCTTCCAAACCAGGTCCTTCCACCTCTGCTCCTATGGAGGTTGCTGGAGAAGTCAGTTGGCCTTTTCAGTCCCTGATTTCCTTCTTTCCCTTTTGCATAGAGGTAGCAGGTTTCGTTGCTTTTCTGGTGTGGCTGTGAAACTCCCCTTGCCACCTGTGGCAGAGGGCGACTAGGTAGGTGAGTGACACTGCCGTATTTTTCCTACCATCTGCAGAGAGAGCTGAGCCAAACCTCCCAGGAGCAGAAGGAGCTGTTAGAGAAACTCCAGGCCGAGACTGAGCAGAAGGAGCAGCTGAGAAAGTTGAAGAACGAGATGGAGAGTGAGCGGTGGCACCTGGACAAGACCATTGAGAAGCTGCAGAAGGAGGTGAGGGGCTGGAGGCAGAGCAAGGATCAGTCAGGCCCAGGAGAACCCTGCACTTTCTCCTGTAGAGGCTCAGGAAACCCCCACCCCCCACCCCCTCACCGCAAGCACAGATTCCCTGCAGCTATTCTTTGGACTTGCTGAAAGGTCCAGATGCAGAGAAACTTATCTAAAAAGTAAACACCAAAACCCTCAGGGCCCTGGGCACCTGGTCACTTACTAACGATAAGCAGAGATGGCCTGGTGTGGACACACACTTAACCAGTGTTCCCTGAGCTGGAGTTGAGGCCTCTGGGCAGAGCCTGCATTTTCCCATCTTTCTGACATAGCCAGGAGTGCTAAAGGCAGTTTCAAAACCTTGAAACAGCTGCCCCTCAGCTCACCTCTGCCCCAAAACACTCACAGGGAAAGGCACATGGTCATGGGGCTCCCTGCCATCCAGAAATGCACACAGGAGGCTGCCATTTTTCTGATCCCTTCCCTGTGCCAGGCATTTTGATAGTGACTTCTTTAGCTTTAACTAGAATTCTTCCTGGGTATTGTCTTAACTCTGGCAATGCTTTTGGAAGCTAGATATGATTTCAGTGTGTTCAGAAAGGACAGTGCCAAGGCCCTTCGTGCCTAAGGACAAGCCCTAGTCATGTACTGGTCAGTGAAAAGCAATTTTCTGATCGCAGAACTGTGTCCAGCCTCTTTGTTCACTCCTCCATGGTTGTTCCCAAGGCAGGGTTAGCCCGACCACCCAGCCCAGGGCCTGGTACTTGGCAGCCTCAGTAGAGGCTTTAAAGTTAGTGATGAGAGGAGACGTTTTCCTTGCTGGAATGGGCTGCAGAAGGAGCATTGCAGGGCCACTTCATACCACACTGCTTCCTCTAGATGGCCGACATTGCTGAGGCCTCCCGCACATCCTCTTTGGAGCTGCAGAAGCAGCTGGGTGAGTATAAGGAGAAGAACCGCCGGGAGCTTGCGGAAATGCAGACTCAATTGAAGGAGAAAAGCCTGGAGGCAGAAAAGGCCAGACTGGCGGCCTCGAAAATGCAAGATGAGGTAACTTCTGCGGGTTAATCCTCGGGCAGGGTTAGGGAGGGAAGCTTTGGGGCTTGTCTTAGTCTCCATGCTCTAGTGACTCCATGCAGCTGGCATCCTATGACACAAAACTCCCACCGACAACCAAAGTGAAACAGACACACCTTTAATTGGGCCATGTTCTGGTTTGATCCAAAGTTTTCTGCCTGAAAAGTTGAGCCACCCTTTATGAAGTGAAGCAAACATGTTGTTAGGTCCATCTGTGTCCAGACATGTCTTCCACATCTGTGCCTTCCATTATCCCTAGAACAAGATGGCAGCCAATGACTAGGTTCTTTTAACAACCTTTTTTTTTTTTTTTAAGATTTATTTTGCTTATGTGTGTGTGCATGCTTCCATGTGTATGTGTCTCAGTGTTTGCACACTTGTATATTCTGCTACCTGTGGAGGCCAGAAGGGGGAGTTGGATCTTTTGGAGCTGGAGTTGCAGGCATTGTGAGCTGCCTGCTGCTGGTGCTAGGATCCACACTTTGGTCCTCATGATTGAGCAGCAGGTGCTCTCAACTACTGAGCCATCCCTCCAGTCCTGACCGTTATCTTTTGACTACTATTGTGGTAGATAAGAATTGGATAGCCACAGTAAAATAGACCAAAAGATGTCCTTAGGGACTGGGCCTGTGGCTTATTGGTAGAGTGCTTGCCTAGACTTGGTTCAGTCCCCAAGTCTTAGAAGTTTTTGAATGCTGAGATACTGAAAACATATTTTTTGTCATTTATCTGTCCGTGGGTGTGTGACGTGTATGTGAAGGTACAAGCGCCAGGGTGAATGTATGGAGCTCAGGGGGCAACTTTTTGGAGCTGGTTTTCTCCCGCCTTTACATGGGTTTGGTGACCACACTCGGATTGTCCGGCTTGTGCGCCAAGCTCCTCACCTGCTGAGTCAGCTTGCATGCTCTAAGTCATGTTCGGTTTTATATGTAAGAACAACAGAGCAAAGAATGCCAGTTTTACATTCTTGACCTGGGAAGAGAAAAGTTCATGGGGGTGTTAGGTGTTGGAGGCTCTGCAGCTCCACGACTACCCATCTCTCTCTCTTTCTGTCTCTTTGTCCCTGTCTTTCTCTGTCTCTGCTCTCTCTCACCAGTTCTCCTGCCCCACGCTCCTGAGTGCTAGGATTACAGGTGTGAGCCACGGCACCTGGCTGTGATTCTAGCCTGTGCCAGCTGAATGACTGTGAACAAGCCGTCTCAATTTTCTCAGCATCTCTCTCCACAAAACATTAGTAGCTTAATGATAAATGAGATAATGAATGAAATGGATAGCGGAGGCATCTAGGTCCTGGACATTTAATACATATTTCTCTCTCTCTTTCTCACCACCCCCCATGTGAAGAGCTCACAGATTTTACAGGAAAACAAGTTTTCTCTAAAAACAAAACCAAACCACCAGCAGTAAATTTTAATTTCTTTGATGATCAAAGGAACGTTTCCCCCGAGTCAGTGCTGAACCCATTAAAGAACAATGGATATTTCTTACAGATTTCCAGAACACTTTTGAAAAGGCCCTGATAACGAATTCCCCCTGCCTCAGGGTTACATGATACATGAGTCCAAGAAAACAAACTGGTACGCTGACATCACAGCTCTTGTTACTAAGAAAAAAAATATTATTTTCATTTTTATAGCAGATGGATGGAAGGGCTCAGACATTTGCCAGAACACAACAAATACCTTGTCTGTTTTAACTTCAAAGCCACGGTGTCACTGTGACCCTGCACAGGGACCCATATGGCCATTTGTATAAAAATTTTGGGGCTGGAAGCTCTAGGAAAGAAGGAAACATGAAGATCCCCTATGCAGATAGAGAAGCAGAAGGCCACAGAGATTGGGTGAGGCCAGGTGACTGCCTTCTGCCTGTGGTGTGAGACACGGAAGTCCTGATGATGGTGCTCCTTAGGAAGCAAGGCTGAGTTCATTTTCTAGATCCTGCTTAACTACTTAGAGGGAGCACTGGCAGGTTGAAATGCTATTTGCTTACTTTTATTATTAGCAGATAATGGATTGTATATGACGGTGGGTCTCACTGACATTCATATATGAATCCCGAGCCTCTTGATCCCCTTCACCCCGCCACCCTGCTTTATCTCCTCACTCCTGCCGATCCCCCTCTCTTTCCAGGCTGTCTGGCTTACTTTTGGTTCAGGGCAAGTTGTTCTTAGACATTCGGTGGTGTCTTATCTGTCTTGCTTGGTACTAAAAGTATTTCTGATTTCAGGGATCTTGGAATATTTGTGGAGAATTTACTTGTTTGTCATTTCCAATCCAAAAAAAATCTGCAATCCATAATGTCTTTTAGTTTTGTATTTTGGAGCATTTCAGTTTTAAACTTTTTAAAAAAGGATATATATATATATATATATATATATATATATATATATATGAATAATTATTTTGCCTGCATGTATATAGGTATATCACATGTGAGCCTGGTGCCCAGGGATGCCAGAAGGGGGCATCAGGTCCTCTGGAACTGGAGTTACAGATGATTGTGAGCTGCCATGTGGGTGCTGGGAGCTGAACCTTTGGAAGAGCAGCCAGTGCTCTCAACCTCTGCTGAGCAATCTGTCCTGCCCTGCATTTTGGGCTTTTCAATTGGGCATGCTCAGCTTGTGCTAGCTGTTCTCTTCTGTATGTCTGTGCTGAGTACTCTCAGGAGGACACTTACTGGTGTTAGGAAGTGGTGGAACCCAGCTGGGTGGGGTAGGGGCGTGTGTGTTAGGTATTCAGAAAGGCACGTATGGTGTTGTGGGGATGCCAAGAAGGAAATTTTGGCTGTATATTTGATTGAATTCTTTGTGCTCATTATTTTTGGGCATCATCTGATTCTCAGGTGAAGTACATTTTAATATCTCCCCTGTGTTGTAAGGAGGAAATTGAGCCCTGGAGAAGTTCCGCGCGCGCTCTTCTGCAGTGTATCAAACCACTGTATCCAGAGAGCCTCCCATTCCATTCTTTCTGTGTGTGATTGCTCCTGTGCGATCTCTCAGTGTCACTCACCATTGCTGCCCAAACCTGAGCAGGGCCCATGTCTCACAGTTCTTTTCTCCCAAGGGGACTGTGATACACATGGCTGGGGTTTGGCTCTGTGTTGGAGACAATGCTGGAGTGCCCCCTCCTGGGTCTTCCTACCCTAGCCTGAGCCTACGGAGCTTCCTCAGCTTTTCTGTGGACTCCCTGAAGGAATAAATCTCTGTGGTGGTCTAGTCTTAGCCTTCTCCAGCTCCAGGAGACTTTCACACTGGTGACCGAAGAGCCAGGGTTGAACCTCACTGCACCAGCCCACCCGCTGGTTGTTTGTGGCCTTCTGGCCAGTGTGGTGGTCTGCTCCCTGGGGCTCAAGCTGTTGTTGCACATTCTTCAAAACTATTAGATGACTGCCACCTTGTGGATGAAAAGAGCACTGCAGTTATGGCTACTTGTTTTCTTCCACACAGCAATGGCTGTTACCTAATTTATTTGGTTTTTAGTTTAAGCCCTTAAACCTCTTTTGGGATGATGCTGATACAAGAACACGTAGCGACTTCAGTGACTTTTAAGTGGTTTTGACCACGGCGCGTAAAATAAAGGCATCATCCATGCAACCTAATGACACATCCATCCATACAAATATGTAAATATCTAATATAAAAGCATCACAGTACGTGTTCATACTTTGATTTTGTGTGTGTGCTCTCTGTCGTTAAAATGCTAGTCCCTGTCTAATCAACAGACTTTATAACCTACTAGTTTACTAATTACAACTGAAAAACCCTCCCATTTTATCAAGTGGGAAGACTAGAGAGAGCTGGAATCTGCTCCTCTTTGCTCTGGGGTGGGCCTGTGCGCTGTCTTGTGGCCTGCGTGAGCCAGGCGTGCACACGGTGCGCAGGCCTGTGTGCCGGCACGTGTCCTGTATGATCGCTAGAGTTCAGCCTGCTGCCATCCCCCCCCCCCCCCCCCCCCCCCCCCCCCCCCCCCCC